TGCTGCACGTCGGCAGTTATGTCTTATTAAAAGCATGTGGCGTTTCCGTGACGTTGCATTACCTATTTGCTTTGACGCGGACTATTTTCGCAGGTAAAATTCTTTAAATTTACTAACACGGGAAACTTGCCAAGTGTTAAATTCGTTTTGAATGAATAACGATTGGAAATTTTATTTATAAATTCTCCTGAGAAACGATATGTCAGGCTCTGGGAAAATTTAGCGTGGGCGGAAAAACGCCGTCGGAGTTCATTGTTAGACGAATTCGAAAAATGCATACAAATAGTATTCGTCTGATAATCCCACGGATAAAATTGCTGCAAAATTCGCTATAATTATTCTAGTTATCTAATTCTTGCCTCAAGGAACGTGTTTTCCTAATTGGGTCAACATCATCGACTTCTTCTTCATCGCGGTAAAGGAGTGCTTCTTTTATCGATAATAACTGATTCTTGCATTTTGCAGTTTATAAATAGTCATCGCAAAGACTCTTTCTTCGTCACTCGAGTCTTTATTATTATCGCTAGATTGTGGATCTCTGTGCAAACTCCAATTTTAAAGAATATAATTGGAAAAATTGGATTATCATAGAAAATGGTTTTTCTTGTGAATACTATAGAAAGCACTATGTTTTAGATATTATATAATTATATGATATGGACAATGCTAATGACAACGTAAAACGATGTAGTATAGTTTAAAATATTACTATACAAATACCAATAATACCACATGAAATATGATACCATATAATAAGCTTATAGCATTCAAGAAATCCATACAAATGAATAATAAGCAACTATTTTAGATAAGTAAAAGAATGAACACATTCCTATTGTAATTCATCAAAGAAATTCAAGCCGGAGTTTGATTATTGACTTAGAAGAAAGGATCCCCTTAAAACGTAAACTCGTTTGCTACTACATGTGACATATGTTTAATGCACTGATTCTTATGAGAGTCTAACGTCACACGTGTGACACATACTTCACATAAATCCACTATCGACGAAAGCTTGAGCTATATTAGCAGCCTTTCTAACCATATATGCAATATCCAATGTTTAATTTCCATACGCTTCCTAACTAATCATACAGATTTTTCTCTTAATTCAGTATTATGTAAACTGCTTTTATTTCTGATGGTGCAAGTCCAATTTAAAAGAAGTAAGACTTAAACTACTCTCATTTTCAATTTTCATATTCTATGACTTTTTATATTCTTTTTCAAAATTCATTGCTATTTTCTCCCTTTCACTTTTTCTTTGTTTTAGTTACTTACGTTAAATTAACTAAATCCTTTTGATTTATTACGGTAGTCTATCTAGAATTTTATCAAGAGGGAGATCGAATTTTATACGATCTTTTGAAATTTTTTTACACCAACCCTTGCTTGTTTGTTTCTTAATTTATGTATGTTTCCTGATTAGTTCATTTCAAAAAATCTCATCTACATTTCATTGAAAAACGTTGAATATTTCTAGTGAAATATTTTCGAGTGCAAGGGGTTGAATTATTATTATAATATTTACATTTCTATTATTACATTGTTTACATTGTATCACTCGTTATCACATTAGCACTGTCCCATTGATTCATCCTCTACCTCTGTTTCATCTCTTGCTTCCTCCGTTGTAAAAATATACAGGATGCAGCACGACGCGTGGAACAACTGGTCAGGGGGTGATTCAACATTTAAAAATAAGTCGAAACATAGGAATAAAATTCATCCGTTTAAGGCTTGGTTTTTAACCACTCTCGACCAGGTTTTTAAGTTTGTCAGCAATTATACTTATTTTTCCAAATCTACATGTAATTCTTTTTTATCTCGCTTCAGTTTTTTATTTCGCCTTAGATACATTATTTATTCTGCAAGTACTAATTTAATCTCGCATAAATTCCTGTTCGTCCTAAAAGAAATCATTTTCCAATAACTTCGTGATCTAATAAAAAAATCTAAAATTTATTAAATTTCGAAAAAAATTACATTCTCCATGTTAAGTGCAGCGAAGTAAATTTAAAGAATATAAAAAACTAAAAACTATTTAAATTAGTCAAATGATTAAACGTAAAAAATTTCAATTAATCAATTATCACAAATTACGTGCAAAATCTCGATAAACAGCGGTAAACACGAGATAACACCTACAGTTGCATAATTGTAAATACAAAACGGACAAAAAAGCACTGATCGATTATCGTCTGAATTTGCTTCGAGCGTATTTTTAACGTATGGATATTACGCTAATGCGGATCGATGGGATGCATATTCATCGTCCAAAGAAAAATTGTCCCCGACAATTATAGGTTTGCGCAATGCGAACCGCCGGCTAGAAAGCATTGTCAAGCAACATGGTTGCAACACCCTGTTGAACGTGCGCCACTTAATACGTGCATCGTGCATCTTAATAACTTCTATTGCACAATTCGTGGGGCACTTAGTTACGACATTTTATTATTCGGCATCGTGTCGGCTACAACGATGCGTGATTATATATGATCACAGTCTTTCTTGTCATGCAAATGCTAGGCCATGACATAAATGTTGCTCGTGAAACACTTGGACGACATTTCATATCTCTTAACAGCAAATTAAGACAAAGTACCCTACGATTTATTTTAGAATTGCTGCTCCACAACAAATTATTCACAATCGCCTGTCAGCATGACAATTTTCATAATATATAATATAATACTATATTACATTATATAACGTCATATACAGGGTGATTCGTTTAATCGTACTGTTAAAATTTATTTGTCGGGTGAAAAATTGTTCGAGGCAGAAGCTGTTTGACATCAAGTGGTGAAATTACATTTGACGAATATATGGTTAGTTTGATTAACACCGAAACATATTTTTAATTTGATTAATGGTTCACAAGTGAATTCAGATGGCGCTGAATTGCATTGTGGTACATAATAACTATTATATTGCATATAGTGTGTGTAGTATATTGTAATATATAATGTCACAACGTATGCCATTTTTTGATGTTTTTCAATGAAACTTGTCAATATTTATTTCCTTTTATTTTTAATTGTCGATGTATCGACTATCGTTTTCTGTGATTGTTTCTCATATTACATATCATTCTTTGATTCCTCTCCAAAACCATATTTGATGCTTAGAATTGTAAAATTTATTTAATACTGTTTTCAAGTATTGGATATGATGAAATCTTTTCTTCAGTTAAAAAATATTGCAATGATTCAGATAAATGATAATAATTTGATACATGGTCGGGAGAAAATACTGAATGTAATGCAATTGTAAACACGACCATTATTTTTGAATGGTGAAACAATTTTCTCTACGCAAGAGACAAAATATTCAGCGTGACAAATATGTGACACTGATTGCGAACGTGTTAACGTCAGATTTACAGAACGAGGGGATTTGACTCGCATTAACTTTTATAAACATTATTTGGTAAATGTTTGGATCGACTTTGATTGATGCAAATACGCGAGTATGTATCCTAATTGTCTACTTTTAAACCTCTAATTTCCAAAATGTAAATGAACGTGCACATATCAATTGTTCTAAAAGCGATAGAATAAACTGTGCTGTAAATCTCCGTAAATCTAATGTTAAGTCGGTGCACAGAGGAAACCAGCTATATTGATTGTTGCATGTATGCAGCAGTTGGTCTTCGATAAATAAAAATTTCTAACAATGATGACCACTTGTACCTTGACCCATTCAACTGAAATAACGAGCTGGACTCCTAAAGTATGGCTTCGACTAAAATACTCGAGTCGGACGTATACGTAGTTATAAATTCCATAATGCAGCGCCGTGGTATTTTTAAATCATATTTTGTATTTATGTTCATCAAATGAGAAATTTTACAGTTACTAATTATTCATTAATCTTCCATTTGATCATTACAATTTAAGCATAAAACAAATGTCGACGGTTTAATTAAAATTTTTATTTATTATTATATGTATCTGAACGTCATAGAAAAGTGGTTAATATTAAAAATTACAATCAAATTTTTATATTGTAAATATTTTCTTTTAAATTTGGTATTTAAAAATTTTTTTAATAATATGCATTCTATATTACTTTTAATATAACCTAAACACAATCTTCTACAAACGATATTAACTAATTTGCAGAATCCAACAACAGAACCCATTATCGTTGAAACACTGACTGAAGTGTTACTACTATAATGTATTTCAGTATACGGTGATCCTGGTTTGTTGGATTGAACTTTGTTTGAATTAATGCAATTTCTGTTTGCTTACCATGGCTTATCCTTCTCCATGGCTCCTTCTCTGGTGGAAACTTCTCTCTTGCGGAGTCCTTTAAACTAACGATAATATATCCTTCGTAGAGAGTTAACGATAATATACTCTTAAACATATTACATCATTGATGTACCATATTTGAAATTCTATTCGCAGTTTTAACCCTTTGCACCCTATAAGCTTCACTACAGCACCATTTATGGCACTGAATATTTTAACAAACAAAGCTGAAGAAACTACCCTAACATTTGTTACACATGCGAATCTTGTCTAAAGAAGAAAAATCAAAAATCCAAGAAATGTTATGATATAACATTTTTTAATTTTCGCCAGGGATACTACAAAAACGGAGTTGCTAAGGGTTAACACGTTGACTGCCGCCAGAATCTTGAGAATTTTATACGTTGCTTATCATTTCGTAGCAAACGTAAATAGAAACAATTATTGATCATTTGACATAATAATTTTTACTTAACACTATTATCTAATTATTTACGCTATTGCACATTTTTATTCAGCGTCAATCATCTTACATATTGTGATTGTTCTCGAGCAATTCCGAAGTGTCGGTCATCGATGATCACCGTGGCAGTTAACGTGTTAAAGTAAGAAGTGTATGTGTAAAACAATGACACTGTGAAAGTATGTCCCATAATATAATAGATGTAAATCTTATGACAACTGCATTTAAATATTAAATTAGAAAAACAATAACATTTGTGTTTTGCTGATTTACAGAAAGCGCTACATTACCAACGCCAGGTGTACCGGCAACCTTGACGGAAGTCCGCGATGAACCTACAAAGGAAACGCCGTTCAGACGTTTGTCGGAAGTGGACCGAATCCTCTTGGAGAGTTTGGATATCGGTCACTCTAGGCCCAGGCCCACCGGCCGATTCCTCACGATGCACAAGCGACGCCGTAAGAGGCTCACCACGAGATCCTTGAACCAAGAACCGGGTATCCTGGACGACATTTTCCATGGTCTGGTCCAGGTAAGCTGCTGATCGTCGGATAGAAATTTTCCACATTCTTATCAGTACTCACCATAGATGTAATGTGTGAATGGCCGATTGGATGTACGTGTGGTGTCGCCTTGCAACTGGATGACGCCGATATGTTTTGGGTGTTACGAGCCGAGGACTGGTGATGTAATTGACCGAGGATTTTTGGCAGCAGGGAAATCGTAGATGTGCCAGTGTCTCTTTCGCCACTGGATACTTCGATTGGAACTAGATTATGATTTCGCCGCGTAACTCTTTAAAACTGAATAAGGTACACTTCGAGCGGCAAAAGTGTACCGTTGTCGGAATGTACTAATACTGCAATTTCAAAAGGATGTGGTCATTAAATGAGGTTGAATTCAAATAGAGGAAACCACTTAAATATATTCTGAATGACAATTAAGTAGTACAATCGTCAGTGTGTGCCGCGCCGCGGACACTAAGCCGCATTCTCTCGGTTTTTGACGCACTAAGTGCAGGGGCTGGTTTCAGCAGTAAATTATACGTACTATTAGGTTATGTTTGAAAGGAACTAGGAATCCGATCTCACGATATATTTCTCGTCTATCGTGACTCGGAATGAACCCGATGATGATCAAGTCGGTGACCCTTATATACCTAAAAATTGACTAAAAACGGCGATGGGGGTACGTGTGTATGCAGGCTGAATTTCCCAGCCGGTGCATCCTCGCGAGTAGGGTTCTTGCATATACGATCGAGCTCCCCTGGAACAGCATACAGCTTCCAGGAGAAAGAAAAGAGTCACGCAGGAAAACTCCGTGCGTAACATGTGAAAGTGTGACTGCAGACAGGATGATCTCGAATGGATGTAGAGCTGCGAAGAATGTTTAATACTGAGCGACTGGACCGTGAGAATGAAGCGTACACGTGACTGCGAGAGTTCCAGCTATGGGCGCAAGGGACAGCGTGTAAGTGAGTAGGTGTGCGTGCGAAAAGAAGAAGAGAGCGATTGGGGGTGAACGGTAAAAGTGCGTTGACGTGGTAGTCTGGTAGTAGTCTAAAAGAAGTCTGGAAGGGAGTGTTACGCGACAGTCTATTGCGAGTGTGATACCATCCGCTCACGATGACACACCTCCCCCGTTGAACCTTGAACGCCCTTCATCGTTCCGAGCAAGCCCATCGCGTCATCCCCGACGGACTCTGCTCATCCTGATTCACCACCCCTACCACTACAGTGTGATACTGACATGAACCAGCCGGCCTGCGGCTCAAAAGTGAAGGGGAGCAAGGGGAGGCATCCGTAATGGCGGAATCAGCTTTTTTTTTGAGCCACTCGTCGGCTGGGTTCATGTCAGTAACGCACTGTACCTGTAACCCAGAGCTGGCCAACCTTTTGCATACCATCCGCTAATTTTGTTCACAGACAAGTTCATATGCGCCATACAATTCGAACACCTCTTCGACTTTCTTACATTCACGGTTGGGATAGGAAAATAGGGATAAGGGTAGGATCTGCTTCGCTTAGGGGAGAAAAAGGAATAACTCAATCTCGCAATTAACACGTTGAACACCATGTGGGTCATCGGTGATCCCCAATCAAATCGAATTACTATAGTTCACTCAATTAAACGATGATTGTTTGAAAATATTTCTATATTATAAATAATGCTATCTAATGAGGTTGCATTCAGCTAGGTGAACGTGCAATAATAATAGTGCAATTCAATCCAATGGTTTAGTATTATACCCCGACACTGGTTTTGGCCCGCGAGAAGGCCCACTAAGCAACCCTAGGCCCTAGAGCCTGAAATAAAGAGAGTCCGTTTCCGTCAAGTGCAGAAATGCCATGTTTATTTCCTTTCTCGTATCTACGTTAGCAGCGGCGTGTGTTAGTTCGGGAAGTGAAGTGACGTGTGCTCAAAATCCCGTCACACACGAGTGATCTAGTAGGAAGGGTGTTAAAAATAGGCGATTTTTGGGCGAGCTCCGCAACAAAAAATGTTGTTGCAGCATGATTCTTCACAGCCTACGGAACAAAAAAAGTTATGTACCATTATTTCCGGATTCGTCGCGAAAGTTATGAAAAATGCGGTTGAAGATAAGTTTACGATAATGATTATAACTCATTGGATTGCAACTTTACTGTTTCGATTCCTATTTCTAATAATGTATACGTATGTTACTTAGGAACCCATATTTTCGTTCGAAATTATATTTCTCAGAAATCGAGGGTAACCGAGCAAAAGGATTTACAAATTTATATTCAGCGTACAAAAATCTACAACAGCTGCTTATTGAATATTGGAGAATGTAAAAAAAATGTTAAGATTTATCGAGCATTGCTATTAACGTTTCCAATGAAGCGTATTGTTTTCATGTTTAATGAAGCATGAAAAAGCCCCGATTGTATCACGGCATGCTATTCGAGTATATAACGTTATTGCGGAAAAAAGTATGTGTACAAACACGTTTTGAATCGATACTGGCTAATTGATCGAGTACAATAATAATTGATCGACACGTATGTTCGTTCTATTGATTTACGTAACTCATTAGATAGTAATAAAAACCGGTTAATTAAAATCGGCAGTGGATCTGATCGATAAAATCCGAACTGGTTAAGGGACTTAAACTGTTAGCTAATTGAAGTGGAAAACCGATGATAGCGGTCGAACGATCAGAACCTTTGAGCGATTTAAGCGGTTAAATGCTAATACGACATTACTGGTCAGAAATGATGGAGACCTGGCGGTGTATGAAAGTCACTGCTTTCATTAGAAGTAAATTTACACGTTCCTGGGTTCACATGTTTACATAACATAGCGAAATTATTCACAGGATGTAAAATACATAAACGCGTGACATATCAGCTGAAAAGGAAGCGCTTGGATTGGTATTTGTATGACCAATGAATGCAGGCGAATATAGTTTTCCAGAATGTTAATAAAGATTTACATTGTGCATGTAATTGGTATTCAAATAGTTATACACTTGCTTTAAAACTGTTGCCAATTTGTATGAGGAAAACTAAAAAAAATTCAAACATTTTTCACGTCAAAGATGAATATATTGTAGGACAACGTTACTAATTATGTTCAGAAAATTCTATGTTTTTATTTTTATCTATGGATGTGCATATGATTTTCTTTTATTCTAATAGATTGAAAAGAAAATTTATTACACAGGAATAAACATGGAAATACTAATCTTTTCATTATGTATGATAGCAAGTTGCACGTGAATGTTTATAAAGTATTTAAAAATACTTCTCTTTATTTTATGTTTTCCAGTTTCTTAATTCACGTTACATAAGATTTAATTATCAATTGTTCTATTACACGTTAACGTTTCAATAGTAATCAGTTTTCGAAAAGTTACACAGTTCTGTATTAAATGTTTTTTTTCAGGGAAATAAGAAGCTTTTTATTAAATTTTCGTTAACAATACTGTGTTTCTTTACATGATATATTTATCTATTCTGCGAGGATCTACAAGATTTCAATATTATCTCAAATAATTATTAAGTAGTAATACTAAGCTTCTATTTAATTTTTGTCTTTATTCTTATTCAATAATTTTTAAAAAGTCTTTAAAAACGTTTTAATCATTTTTAAAAGCATTTACATAAAGATGCATTTATCTAATAATACAGTATCTGTAATTATACTGTTGATATCCGTCATCTTTCCACTCACACGAATGCATTTCTCAAAACTCACTGCTTTATACATTTTTTAAGATAAGGAAAAGAAAATTCTTAAATATTTAAAGTATGAACTCATAAGTATGCAATATTACCATTAACTAACGTGTTTACCTGTTGTTTACCTTTTTGTTTTTCGAATTCCGTTACGACTCAACAGAAACTTCTATAATAATCAGTTTATGATATATTTATGCACTGTATCCACGTTGTAGTTATTAGACAACAAACTCCCTTTTCAAATATAAACGATTTTTAATACAGATCGTTTGAGTAATTCTTTTATTTCATCTTAATACACAAATTGGCCATTTTAATGTATATTATTGCTTTTGGAAAAATCATCTATTCAAGGGATGATAATAATGTATGCAACCGTAATACATGACTGTATACACATAATTGTACTCTATTTGGCATGCACCGGTGAGGTTGTACTCTATCTGGGACATTTCAATTCAGACGTACATCTACGGTCACATCGCTAAAAGGGTTAAAGAGAAGAGAATATATTCAAAGAGAATATGGAATGGAACGAATTAATTTTATTACCCGTATGTAGGATGACGATAAAAAAAACACATTGTACTCGGATGATATGTTGTCACATAGAATTGGTAAAGAATTTATGTTTAAGAAATCTGTTATTGTAACAGTTTTTTTATTTCTAGGGAACTGGTAACAAATTTTGTAATCTGTTTTAACGTATAATACAACTTATGACAATTATTTTATGTAACCGTAATAACTTTTCGAAAATATATTTTACATTCCTAGTGTAACAATCTGTAATGTATTAATTCGTGTAATTCGATTTATTTAATTACTCTAATCTAGATGTTCCTACAAACGATATTTCATCGTTTCATCTCGAAGGAACGATATAGTTCACAATTAAATGTTGTATGCAGAATGATCATGTGATATTATCTTGATTTATCTCAATATTAGTATTAGCAAAAAAATACATGAAAACTGCATGCGGAAGAATATAAGGTGAATCATTCCAAAATATTTTTAAGCGAAGGCATTTCGTACATTTAAGGAAAATTTCGAGAAAAGTTTTGTTTTTTAAATAAAACTAAATTAAAAAATTGAACAATTTATGCACAAATTATAAAAATTGTGTAAATATTTCTTCAAGGAAATTATTATATACATTTTGATAAGTAAAATGATATATATTTTGATAACCTTATAAGCATTTAAACATGTTGAAACAATATTTAAAGCAACCGAGATACCCTTCATGCACTACCCTTTTTAGATATTTTTCAATTTTTTTACAAACTAACACTATAAAATGAAATCTAACGATACAATAGTCATTTTAACAGAAAAGATAATAAACTTGCAACAGTTACAAGTCACTCTAAGTAATTCTCAACATTAATAGTTGCTCAATGTTCTTCTTAGCATAACGCAGTGATTTCATGCATTATATGAATATTCTTCACCATTGTACGTATCATTTATAAATTGTACGACAGAAATGGTAAGTTGAAAACCTCACCTTATTTTTCAAATGCATTTTGCATAGATTTTAATGGGACAGTGGGAAAACGTATAATGGAAAAATGTTACTTTGATAAAGACTGCTATGCGTAATACTGTTGAATTGTAATGTTAAATGCGAACGTGTCCTGCAAGCATCAGTCAAGGAGAATACAGTTTTTGGTATGGAAATTTTACTTGTGTTATAAATCATTTATAAACGATACGTCTAACAATAACTCCATCAATAGTGCCATAACAAACTGCTGAAATATCCAATGTGCCCCATTTTAGGCAAACGAGTTGCACACTCAACTACCTTATTACTACTGCTGTCCATACCACCTGTGCCATACAGCACCCTTCGTTTCATAATTAGAATTTCAAGGGAGATGATCTAATTTATCTCGCTTAAAAGCTCACAAACTTCACGCAGAAATTTATTAAAGAATTTGTTCATAATTTTCAATTTTTCAAGATTAACTTTAAAATTAGGAATTATCGTAATGAGTTAAATCTTCTGGCTTAAAATCAATCAAAAACGAATCACCTTGTATTTGTCAATACATTCCTAAATAATAATTCATAAGTGTATACATACGTATTTTTATGAAACTAAGGAAGAATCTTAAAAAAGAGCTGTATTTTATCTACAAATTTGAAATGAGCTGTATAACTTGAATTATGTTATAAATTCGCGTTCAACGCGAAATTTCGACGCCAATAATAAAATGTGATCGGGTTGCTGCGAAATGACTCAACAGATAAAATATTACATATGTCCAATGTGTAGAATGGTGCTTCTACATCGCTATCCTCAGAATATATTTACAGTAAATATTGGAAATCTGTAACTTCAATTTTGTCGTATGTTCAAAACTATCCTATGAAAATATATTAATTGCTTTCTTTATTTAACGAATGTTAATGCATTATGTTTTAATAATTTGTTACAGTGCGTATTACAAAAGGCTGGAAATTGGCGGTTTAATGCGTTTACACTAGAAACAGTGACAGGAGGTAAGCATTTGTACAAAAGTATATTTTTACTCTTTTTTGTGCTGCTACAAGTATGTAAATAGTAACATTAACACGTTGATCGCGTGACTGAACAAAATTATTTTCTGAAATGTTTGGACAAGCTTCTTACAATAATAAAGTTTTATTTACCATAAATATTAGGTTTTATATGAGTAGAACCGTCGACGAACTTTAATGGCTGACAATGAACATACGACCGGAAAAAAGTTAAACATAATTTTGAAAAATTGCATGTTCGTCCTCAAAGTCCGTAATGCGTTGCTGTTAAAAATTCATGCAGATAATACGATTTGGTCGATGCAGCCCAATTTAAATCTTAAAAGGGCGTCGCCCAGTCAGAGAAAAAATTTGTTAGAAGCAACATCAGAAACGAGAGAGAATGAGAAGTATTGCGAATGCAAGAAGCGCACACCAACAACGTCGTCCTCGTTTTTTCTCCTTGGAGATTCCCTCATCTTGCAATGATCTCGCGTTACCATTATTCTTCGTCCACGAGTTTCTATTTCGCGACATGCTAGCTTGGTTTACATTTCCAGTAGAGCTCCATCGAATCACATAATATGTAAAATGCAAAAATGTGCAAATATCAAAACTTCATGTAACTGAAAGCCAACTAACCCATTAGGTTCCAAATAAAAATATTTAGGAAAATACATTTATATTCATAATGTACGTTAACTAAGTTATCATTTTTAAGGAAAATAAATATTTTTGTAAAAAATCCTGTTCCAACTGTCAACAGAAAATTTATTAAAAAATCGATATGAATTTGATATTTATTCTATGTGCACGTTTATTCCAGAAGTTAAGGATTGATAATTAAATTTGACGAAATCTGAACGTTATTTACTTTGGAACGTTTGAAACTTTCGTCGCGAGCTGATATGATATTAGGGGTTAAATTGTAATTGCTATTGCTGTTGTAGAATTTACTAAAAAATCTTCAGTTATTAATACTCAATATTTAAAAAGTTCAAATTAAGTAAAGTGTTAACAGAAATATTTATATCAGCATCTTTTAGTTTGAATCAATAATAGCATAACAAAATTTGAAAACGTTAGAATTATCATTGTTTTAATAGTAAATCTCTATTAAACTTGTGTGACTAATATTATTTCGTGTTTTTCTTACAATTAGATTGAAGGTGCTCGTGCATACTCTATTTTACGGAGTAATTCCTTTATTTCCGCTCAGTTCCCTTCGAACGTCTAAAGCATTCCCTTCAAATAGGAATTCTGAAATTTTCAAATTAGCTCTTTTAGCGTAGCACGACAATACCTATCGACGGTATAAACTTAATTAAAAAGTTCCGTTTTCCGTAAACACGACTTCTGAGAACAATCGTCGGCAATTTTCCGGAAATCAAAGTATTCTGTTCTCTTGACAATGGGTTACCGTGCACTGTGGAACAATTCAATTTGTCATAGTCTCGCCTGCAATTTCTTCGGTTACTGGACATGGATATTTCACAAAAAATTTCTTCCTTTTTTTCATTGAAATCATTTTTTAAATCCCACGAAGGAATTATTTAGCAATATAATAACCATTATGTTGATATTAGATTACATAAATCGAACACACATTATTTGCTTGTACGTTTAGTTTACAGCTGTTTAGAAATGTTCTCAGATCACATGTTCATAAAATGAATGTGATAATAGGCAGTGTAAGAGAAATATTTAATTTTAGTATAATTTGGAATTTTTTAGTGAAATGTGTTTTAAATTTAGTAAATGTTCTGCAAAAACTGAATTTTATTTATCATATAGGAAACATTATAGAAAGATACAATTAATATATTAGGTATGATAATTGTATTCGCATTCACATTAATAATTAAATCTATTCTTGCGAGGAAAAAGGCAAGTTAATAATCAGATTTCTATGTGTTAATTATAGTTACACTCTCAAATTCAAGAAATTTAATAAATAAAAACAATTTAATAAACAAGTTGATGCCTTTATGCCTTCTTCCACAAATTCATGGATGTTTTCAAAGTGCGATTTGAATTGTCTTTGTCTGGCTCCAATTTTAGAATATACACTGCTGAACCAGGGGTCACAGAAATTGATTCTGAATTTCAAATCATAGAATATTCTCTTCCTTTCGATGTCTAGATAGGGAACCAATCATTAACAAACTTTAACTACTTGAACAATTTAGAACACAGATTGGAACCAATTTTCGAAGTTAGTACGGAAACGAAAATCGAAGAGACAGTAACTAGACGAGCATCGGATGGAGCAGTCCCCAACAAGAGCGCACTTGTACTTACATTCCAGGAACTGCTCTTGTATCATTCAATGTATCTACCATAGAATTTTCGTGTATCCTCGAACTCGAATTTCTGTATGTTAATGCAAATTCCAATATTTCCTACATGTTACGTGTAAATCTTAGTAAACGTCCATTCATGTAATAAATCTAATTCCAACTGTGACAAATTAGCTGAATTTCATTACTGATATAGAATTCGTCATTCGATATAGTCGCGTACGATAATCATTCTTATAAGTCGATAGATTCGTTTAATATCACTGTATTGAAGTACCTATTATTGAACTCAATGTCATAGCTACAGCTTGCAGTGTTCAGGAAAATCTTACTTTAAGTAATAAGTGGATTTGATTTCAAATCGTACTTATAATGTTGAAAATAAAATATGTTACTTGTCGAAACAAGTATTTTAAATAGCAATTAAAGATAATACTTGCAATATTTCTGTTTAACTTGATTATGTTGATTCTACGTGCACAAAGAAGTAATCTAAAAGAGAAATATGTCAGGTAACATACTTTTTTAAAAGTATAAAAGTATAAAAGCAGATACATTAACTTCACATTTGAAACACCAAAGTATTTAATTTTACACTTCAAATTATTAACACACGTAAAAAATATGTTACCGAACTGTCTCTTTATATTTAGGGCATCATATCTAAATTCGTAGCATACATACATGTAATATTTCCTTAGTTCCTAATCACTTTATTTATTATCCTTAGTTTCTAAGTACTTTATTCTTTAAATTACGTATCTCAACAAAAGACGTTTTGAAATTATTTTTCAGGACGATCACTACCAGTATTATGCGTCCATCTTTTTCATTGGTATGGACTGTTACAACACTTCAACTTAGACGTGGTAACGGTGTGGAAATTATTCGGTAAGAGCACTACTGCACCATTATAAGTATTTTTATACCCTTCCCAATTGTTCTGAAGCTAAACTGTTCTTCAATAGGCTTTAGATGATAGTATACACAATGTCCATATATCGGACTTTTCGAAAACTATCTGAACAAATATAGTAGTAAAGTGAAAGTTTAACATACAATTTGTTAAGGCTTCGTACAGGCCTGGTTTATGTCAGGGACGAAAGTGTTGGAGTACTGGGGGTGTTAAGCCGGGGCTTGACCGGCAGACCCTCGCGGAAACAAATTTTACACTCTTCGTTCCGTTAAAAGGTGTCCTAGCCATAAGTCAGGCAAAGGACGTAACCGAATAAGGAGGGGCAAAAGTGCCTTCCAAGCCAAATCGACCTTCACACATACCATTCGATAGATCTCTCGAAGAAATTGCTTTATACCAAGTTTTAAGCCCCTGTTCCTGCTATTAGGACAGTGACAGGGTGGAATGCTGTAGACAGTTTATGCTTCACATTTTATAAAGTTCGTTTTTCATATTAAAAAGAAATTATGTTAAATTATGTTTCACTCAAATCCTGTAACAAATGTCTAAAGAAATCGATAAAAAACGTATTACAGTCTTTATAATGATTGCACATCAACCCCAATAAATGAGAAGAAATTTTTACGTTGAAAGAAATATATTACTAAATTAAAGAATGTCATACAGTGGGGCCCCGGACTTACGTCCTAATTGATTCTGGAGTGAGCGACATAAGTCGAAAAGGACGTAACTCGGGGACCCACTGTACTTCGAGATATAAAGAGTTAATCATCAATAAATTGATTATTAGTCACTACGATAGTTTACCATTTCCCAGATCATTTTCAGGTCCTTTGTACGTTAACAGACGCCTCGTTAAATCGAGTTAGTGTTAAAATAATACAGAAGTTGATTAAAAGGACGTGACCTTTTTCAATCGTCTATGAAACATGCAGCTCGCAGAATTGTGCGTGAAGCATGTTTACATCATTTCGCATAGATTCCCTGCGTTCGAATCGCTCCGTATTGTATGTGTAGTTATAACAGCATATGGCAGTGTTTACTTAGCGCGTTTGCGGAATTGAACGAGTATTTCCGCAATATCGCTACCCCCATCCCCACCCCGTGCCCTCGTCGCCTTTTCCCATCCCCTGTATCGCCGAGTTTCATGATATTCCCGTCGAGACGGAATCTGCGGTTCCTATTAATAATTGTTACTTTCTTTCGACACGAAATTTTTACGTCATCGTCAAGTTAAAATACAGGTCGGAAGCTATTCGTCATCATTAAATATTCAAAAGGGGAGAGTCCCACAAGAGAAACGATCCCCTTATGCTGTGTATTCATATTTATAGATCGCGCGACGCTTATTATTTATTTATTCTGTAGAAGATTTCCATACAAACAGGATATATGCAGTACCGCGTATCAGAGCAACCGTGAATATTTAAGATACTTCTTTCGTCAATAATGTGGAAGAAACTCGCGTAAAGGTATGCGTTAGAATATTTAATCATCAAAATTTCTACTGACGAAGACGTTATGCTGTGATAACCTCGTGGTTAGAACTCTTTGGAGATTAGTTTCTTTAAGATTTTATGTAACAATTAATGATGATGAGTACGGTGGAAGACCATGTAGAGATGATTTGGAGATTAATGAAAATAAGAGAATTAATGGGGAAAGTAGACTTGAAGGTCTTACCAAGCAAAACTATAACAGCTTCTAAGTACCTAATCGATTAAAACTTTCTTCAAATAATTAGTCAAATTTTATTTTATTTTATTCTTTCCGAATAACGCACATCGATGTAGTCGCTAACAACGTTGTAATGACATTAAACGTCAAAAATTTGCTTTTTAAATAAACTTCGTAAGCCATTTTAAAAGGAAATTGAAATGAGGATATTTTGGGTGTCTTGTCAAAATGATTAACTTCATAAAACGAAAAGTAATTTCATAGAACTGATAAAATTACATACATGAAGGACTAATTAAAGATTTTGAAATTAAAATTAAAACCCTTCCAAAAAATGCAGTTAGTCACGTTGATCTGTTAATGACTCATGCAAAGACAGTATTTAATCGTCTTTGTACTTATTTGATACCAGCCTTCATCGAGGAGGGCTATCACAGTACAAATCCTTACCACAACAGTATACACGCGACGGATGTAACTCAAGCGATGCACTGTTTCCTCCAAGAGAAAAAAGTGAGTACCAATATTCGGCTACCAAATGTAGAACCACAAGTTATATATTCTGTAACTGTTAATGGCCACTATGTCGCCATCTTAAAATAAACTCGAATAAAGTAAATAAATCAATATATCGAATATAACGGAAACAAAAGGATATATATATATATAAAAGACAAATGAATAAACGGATCAACATGGAATAAAGATTATATGTTGCGCAATTATAGATTAGAATGCACTTAACCAACTTGGAGATCATGGCTTCGCTGATAGCAGCGGTGACACACGATTTGGATCATCCAGGCGTCAACCAACCATTTCTCGTCGCTACCAGCAATCACCTGGCTGCTCTCTATCAAGTGAGTTGAATGTTTTCAAAATGTATGTAAACTGTGATAGTCAAATTTGGCTGGGATTTAGACGTCTTATTAACTGCGAGCGCGTGGTTCCAGAATACTTCAGTTCTTGAAAATCATCATTGGAGGTCGGCGATAGGATGTCTTTTAGAAAGCGGCGTTTCCGATCAATTGCCCGATAATGTCAGACCAGAACTTCAACGACACATTAGTTCATTGATCTTGGCTACAGATATCACGCGGCAGCAAGAGTTTCTCGATCGATTCAAAGTAAGTTCAGAAAAATGCTAGCTTATATGAACACAAGGGAGACACATTGTTTTAACATCACCACGTTCTTGTGGCTTTTGCAATAACCAAATTCGATTTTTTAACATTATCATGATTCTATAACTTGCGTCGGTCTAATCTCACTCTCGTTCCTTTAACCCTTTATATCCTGAATTATGCCACTTTTAATTTTCCTATTATTTCCATTCTAGAATTTAAGTTAATAAGTAATTTGCAAACATTTGATGCATGGCAGCTTTTTCATGAAACGATATTTTGAAGCACCTTTAGGATATGAAAGATTGAAAATACTTTTGTATCTGAAAGAAGTAACAAAATTATTGACAATACACGTGTTCCTACTTGTTCAACATTATCTCGAATGTATAGCCGAACTGAGAATCGTATCTGGTTTAAATAATTTATTGCTTAGTTTGGTAATTAATCACTTACATATCAAAATACATTTTATACGTAGTAAATGGAAAAAAAATTTGATCTGTTTCGAAATAACTATTTTTTCATAAAACTGAATGAGTATAGTTGCATTATCATTTTGGAATACAAACATATTTTCATATTGATGTATAGTTTCGTATAACACGAATTTACATAATTCAACCAATTTTAAAAATATAGGTAATTACCGTGTTATACGATCCATTTCACATCAAAGTACTTCAATAAACTTTACCTTCTTCGTCCATCTTTAGCATAAATCTCATTTCGTACACAAAATTTCCACGACTGAACTGATCTCTTTCTCAATTAATTTGAATATTTTATCATAAGTAGACTGTGGATCTTTACGCGTTTATGACATTTGAAATTTTATAAAATGTGAGAAAACTTTGCTTACTTATTTTAAGCATATTATTTTATTAGGTTCTGTATTTTGAGCTTAAGAAATAGTTTAGTTAACGTAATGAATTTCTACCCTGCTCTAGTTTCAATCAAATTAGCATAGTTTTTAGCGCACTTCTGATAATTATACTGATTTAAATAATCATTTTCGAGAAATTTTCTTGTGATGACCTGCTATTCTGAGTTCTGCAACCAATCATTTTTTGAGCTGAGCAAACTTAAAGCACCGCATAATAACTTTACAAAAGACTAACAACACAGAATAACTACTCCTTCAAAAATAATCCTAAATGTTTCGATATTATCTTCTAAAAACAAAAATTATCCAAAACTCATTCTTTCTGTTTCGACCATCAAATTTTTCAAAGTAGAACAAAATTTTACTTTTTAATTTTCATTTTTCCTCGAAGCATTTGTCATGTCTCGTAAACTCTCAAGCGCTATAAACTCCCATAAAAACGACGCTTTAGTAACAAACAAATTGGTAAATAATTATTCATAATTGTTACATCGCTTAAATTTTTGTAGCATTATCTGGACGAGAATCTGTTGGAAATGAGGCGGCCGGAGGATCGGCATTTCATTCTCCAGATAGCCTTAAAATGCGCTGATATATCAAACCCGTGCAGACCTTGGGACATCTCGAGGAAGTGGTCGTACAAAGTATGCGAGGAATTCTTTCGACAGGGCGATTATGAACGTCGACTGAACCTTACGGTGACGCCATTATGCGATCGGCATACCACTAGCATACCAAAGATACAGGCTGGATTCTTTAAATTGGTAGTGACACCTCTTTATGAGGAATGGCATCGTTTCCTGGGCGACGGTCTAAGCGTCTCGCTGATGGAGCATTTGCGCGGTAATCAGAAAAAATGGGAGGCGTTGATCCTGCAGGAAGCGTCAAAGGAAACGGATACGGAGATCTCGGAGCTAGAAGAAGCGGAAGATGCGGTCAGCTCGGTGGAGGATCCAGGAGCGGACGAAGACACGGGAAGCATCGATTTGTTCATACCAGCGGCGTACGTCCAGTCCTCTCGGATGCAAAGTTTGCCAGCTCGAGTCGGCCTCGAGCGAGTCGGAAGACGTCATTCTGTGCCAATGAGCATCACGAAACCGTTGGTGCTTCTTCCGCGTGCCACGGCAAGACGCGAGAGTTTGCCGAGCGAACACATCAAAACGAAAAACCTGTCCTTGCGGCTGGAAGATCAAAGCCCTTTGGGGCGAAGCTCGTTGTCTTTGTTGTCGTCTAAAAGCAGCGTACACGAATTGTCCCCGAACATGAATGTAACGGAGCGGCCAGTCAGCGCTGAAAGTCTTCTACCGGAACCAAGCATCGCGAGCATCACCAACAGCGCTGAAGCGTCGAGATTGAGTTCAGTGCTTCAACCGGACAATCAGAAACCAGGGACTCAGTCGAAACAACTGACGAGACAACAGACTTTCCCACCTTTGCAGCCATACGTTAGAACGAGATACCTATCAACAACCGCAGAAATGTCGCAATGTTACTCGCAGATTTTGATCGAAGCCGACAGTTCCAGTTCCTCTTCGTGTTCGATGAAGCAAAAGTCTTGTTCGAACGGCCATTGCGGCACGCCGCCAACGCACGACGGAGATTCCTCGCAGACCAAGACCAATGTCGAGAAGATCATGTCCAGAGAATCGTTTCCTGTGGACGTTACTAGTAAAAGACGTGGCTCTGCGATAGCAGATACTCTTAGACCAAGAACCGACGTCATTTCGACTGCCGATCATCCGCGACGTCACTCAGTACAAACTATTCGCATCGACGACGCGAACTTTAAGAACCGTCACAAACGACCTGCCTCTGCTCAAGAATCGGATTCTACTCAAATTCTCTACGCGTCACTGATCGGTTCCCGCGGCGATAAAGAGTCGCGCAACAGCGAAACAGAATTGAAGCCGGACCCAAGTGTACCCACGTTGAAGGCAAAGAAAGAAAGTGAGAAAATATTATGGCAAGATCAGCGGACTACAACACCGTTAAGTAAACCCGACCAGTGTAGTTCGACGCATATTGCGAAGCTGAAGTGTGTCGAACCTGAATTACGAAGATACTCAACTCCTGTGCCAGAAACTAAGACAATAATGACTGATGCCAGTGGCAGACGATTTACTGCGATACCAGTGTCTTCTGAACTCAGCACTCATAAAGTGTTCTTCATTGGTAGCCCGCCGGATTCACCACCTCTAATCCAAAGCATATCGTCGTCCAGCGACAGTGGTAGTGATCCGCGGAAAAGTATTGGTGATAATGAAATTGTTTCCGCTGGTAGTAAACGCGACTCGGATGTCGTAAAGGAGAAGAGCTCAAAGGTTGCCAAATTAAGCCTTGACGTACAAATGAAGGAGAATGTTGATCCACGTGCGGTTGAAGATCCGAAAGGAATGGCGTTATCTCGAAAGGGAAGCCAGGTACTAATTTTAACTTGTTACGCGTATCTGTGTATCTTGAAGGTCGTAATTTCGTATTACATGGGTAGATTGCAAGTGTTTAGGGACTTATTATTGTATGAAACCTAGTTAAATAACAGTTTTAATCAATTCCATTTAATATTATTTTGTATCTTATAGAAGCGTTCATTAAAATAGTAAGCTTTCATATAATACTTGTTTGCAACAATTTATTCGTAAAAACATGAATTTTCAAATAGTATTATAAACAGCTATAACTTTTTTAATTGAATTTCTTGCTGTTTGGCTTCCAAATATTTTTAAAGTCATTTTATAGGATTCTGTTATTGTCTAACCAGAAAGATAAATAACACAGAATACAGTGATTTTATTTTTATTTCATCTGTTGTATTAGTCATGGGCCAGGAGACGAGGATCTGCTCCAGTTGGTCTTTTATCCAGATTAGATGATATCATTGTTCCATCTATACCATCTACTAGGGTTGATCACACTTCCAGACGTGGATCTGTACCAGCTGACATTACAAGGCATCAAGGTACAATAATAAAATATAAGTTTTAATATTTACATAGTGAAAGTGGAGATATATTGTACTTTTTAAAAGGAATCTATTATATATTAGTTGATGTAGGGAACATACAACTGAAAATTGATAGTTTAACTTTGGTTGTAAATTTTTCTTAGGAAAAAGTGACTTTTTTTACAAAATAAATACTGGTCTACATACAATCTAGATACCAAAGAAAGTCTGTGCAAACGATGGAAATAACTAACATATTAGACATGTAAGTTATATACTACATGTGAAACATAACATACTCAATTTATCTAACTGATGTCTAGCATGTAAGTCATTTCCAACATTCTGTTCACTAACACTATGTAAATACAAATGATGTTATTATACAATCACATTCCTGAGTCCTTTAAAAACAGCGTAGTCATGACTAACAATAACATGTTAATGACAACTTTAATTTCAATTAGATTCTTAGAAATAATAAAAAAGTTTCACTTAATAATCTTACAATTTTTATCGTCTCTTTAGGTGGAGGCTGTAATCGATTAGCCTTAGGAATTAGGGAGGGTAATGCTGTAACACCCAGAAGAGCCAGTCTTCCACAAGAAACTGCTCTTGGAAACCTTCTTGGCAATATTTTATCGTTAACCAGTACGTATATGCCCTAAGTCATATTGATAAAAAAAATTGAACTCAGTATTCACGAAACTCTTGAATATTTTCAGATGAGCGAGAAAATCTCCCAATAAATAATAATAATAATAATAACAATACTGGAACTAGCAACAATAATGGATTATCAAGAATAATTGATAGCATCGGACCTGGCATGCCGTCTCCGCGGCGAGGTTCAGTGCCAGCAGACATATCTGAATTACGCCGTGATATGTTCAATAGGAGTAGTATAAATGGTAAGCCTCGTAATCGGAAAAAGATTTTGAGGAGGAGAAGTTCTGGAGGACCAGAAATGTTTTCTGGAGGATCCACAGATGGAAACGATAATGGCACATGTCTTAAATGGAAGAGGGAACTAGGAAAAAGGGACTCGATTCCTGAACCGCTCATCAAGCGAAGAGGTTCCCTGCCCATAGAGATGGTGGCCATTTCTCATGCTGGTCGGTACAATCATAGATAAAGGAGGATGTCGTAAAACGAGCCGGTACCATTGCGTTCTCCACTAATATTTGTATGAAAAAATTGATTTGTTAGACTATTCAAAAATCACTAAAGCCAATTTCGTTAGCAGCATTAAGCGAAAAAGTCCAGCGCTGTGGTAGAATTCTTAAAGGTGTAGATGCCAGCTTTCTTGAATTTGTATGTCTGCAATGTTTATAGCAGTAGGATAGTATCAAGCATAGGTTAGTTTTAATAATATTACTGTGTGTGCATAACAGGGTCAGGATCAGGATCAGGAGCTCGAAGATCCAGTTTGTGGAGACTTTAGCATGGAGTAGAAGCAAGTGGACCGCCCATGCAACCAATGGTTGACAGTAGATCATCGAATACTACCGCACTGACAGTCTTTCCTTACAACTTTAGCAGCAACAGCGATGATTGACTTCCACGTTCCAAGATTGCCAAATCTGAAACTCCTCTTTATCAGTTGTTATTGTGGGCAAGTGAATTTTGTAAAATTGATCAAGATTTCTATTACAATAGCTGCAATACCGACAAAACAATTTAAGCGTTTTATCACCTATCGCTAGAAATGTATTGTCACTGTCATAATTTTATATAATATATATTATATAATGTTATATTATATATTATATAACTATGACATACATTGATATGTGTACTGAAAAACCTACTGCAAGAAAAAGAGGAAACACAAATGATGTATATATATATCATAATCATTGATCCAAAAACGTACAAGTTTAAGATTGGCAGAAGATAACACGACATTTTATGACAGGGTCAACGTAGGGAAATGAAAAGTATGAATTCTAAAGTCTTCCCCGCAGTTTACGCGTCCATGTGGAAGAAGTAAAATGTATACATATTAGTTATGTTCGCTTTATATCCATTTGTGCCATACACAGATGTTGTCTAAGATGCGACACAGTCAAACACAGGGTTCAATATGAAGATTTTAATAATTAAAATGCCTAGGTATGGAGAAGGAGAAAAGACTGGTAGACGAAATCACCGCTATTAAACTAGACACTTAAAGAGGCACATAAATCAATTGAAACGAAGTGACATTTGCTCATAGTTAGGAGATTTATGATTTTTTAAACAATCAAGGCAGGATAATGTTATCTTCATTCGGTTAATCATTTCTCGCATCTATCATCCTCATTAAATATTAAATTTCTTTCTTTAGCTGAAAATGGAATTTTTTTATCATTATAGACAGTGTTATAAATAAAACGCATAAAAAATTACATTTATTGTTAAGTGAAAAATAAGGAAAAGTAATAGCTGTGAAAAATAACTCTGGTAAAAAATAATATACTCAATATCGGCAGTAGTTTCCTTTAAACTGTAATGAAAAGCAAGATAGACATTCCATTAAACAAAGTAGTATACAATGTGTAGAACACAAATCAGAAATAATATTAATAATGTTGTAATTATTGCTATTCATCATTCATTACACTATCATAACAATCATTATTGTCATCATCGTTGTTGTTATAGTTATAAATGCAGTCTTAATGACCGTTCAAGTAGGTAGAAATTATAAACTTAGTAATAATACCTGCGTTTAAGCACAAGGTAAATTAGTTAGTGAATTGCGTGGAACTATGACCATAATTGTTTATAACGAAAACAAAAGATGGTTACGATGTATAGGTTTACGGTACGTGAACCAAAATCAATCAAAAACTGCAAAATTTGTTAATACTATCTCTCAATGTATTAATGCAATAATACATATTTAATTAATTAAGTTTTATTTAAATAAAGTACAATTACTAAACTGCCTATGCACAAACAATGTACACAAAATAGACTCAAACATTTTTCTACTTTGTTGTAAACTTTTTGTTAGTACACAACAAGGTTATTAAAGAAAAACCATTTTAATAGTATTTTTAATTATTTTTCTAAACAAAAGAACAAAAAGGAGAATGAACAACTTATATCACGTACTGCTACAACCTGTCATCCCTCTGACTATCAGAAAGTAAAGAAATATTAATAAGCCATTGCAGTTCAATAATGATATATAACAAATCTAAGTTTAATCAAAGTAACAACTGATATCTGTATTGATGTAATATAGATAGGCGATCCATTTCTCAAGTAAACTGTTGCAAGCTTAGTAAATTTCCCCTGGTAAGGTTTCTAGATCTTCTCAATGCAAGACCTGTCAGAGCTATATGTGTATTTCACTCAATGACCACAAAACAAAGGTGTGACAAGCCTTAAACAGATTGAACTCTTTGAACACAAGATGCGAAAACAATTCCTAAGTTTTCCTATTTGTAATGCGGAAGCATTCTGCATAAATGACTTGTATAAGTGTAATAACAACTAAGTTAGTATAAACCTCCTAGTCTTTCTAACTCTTAACATAATTTGTATATATGTATATGTATGTGCAGTACATATACGCATATACATTCAATTTTAAAGAAATGCACAGAAAGCACCAAGGAATACATTGTCAGAAAATATTGAAAAATTTCATTATAAAATTTATTTATTTATATTTCGTAAAACACCTTTACAGACAGACCAATAAAAATGGGACTAAACGAAACATCTTTGTGAAAACTGATAATTGATTTAGCTTCTGAAATAAATTTGAATTCAATATTATAAATGACCACTCTGTCCAACTACTTTTTGAAGAATTTACGACATCTAAATGTACATGTTGCACCACATTTCAATAGAGAATGATTAACATTCTTCAAAAATTCTTCTCCTCTGCCATCCTATAGATATTATGTAATTGCATTAAACCACTTTCTATGATTGTATTATCTTGGAATGTGCAAAATGAATAAAAGAATTCATTATTACTTTATAGGAATGAATGTAAATGTAGGATATATTTGACATATAATGCATCAAGCGGTGTTTATGCTCAGATAAATATTCATTTCTTTCTTTTTATTTCTGATGTTTACTCATTAAATTATTATTAGTTTATGAATCTTTTCTGTAAAAATTTGTATTACAACTATATTCGTAGTAATATACATTCAAAATTGAAACAAAATTTTAGAATACTTACCAAAAGGTAATCATATTTTAATTATCAATTGATAAAAATGGAATATGAATATATTTAAAAACACTTTTCCCATGATTGTTTTATTATTGTATTTACGCACATTTAATACTTACAAATGTCAAAATTGTAAACAATTTTCCTATTGGCAATTCTTCCAGCTACATAAAGATAAAATTTTATTTTATACTCTCATTTGAATGAAAAATTCCGAAAATTATTTTAACTTGAATGAATTTTTTTCAAAAACGAATTAAGTAAAAAAGTTAAGCAAGAGTTTAGTGTGATACTTTTTTGAAAGTGAAAACTAAACTGATAAATAATTATTACAAAGAAAGATGTATCTATTATTACTTTTACCACGATTTTCAATTAACTTTTTTCTGTAAATTACAGCATTAAATGTTGTAATTGTATAGAAGCAACAAAATTTGCGTGTGATTCGCAGTATTGGAAATGTCAATTAACAAATAACAATTCGTATGTAATCGGTCTGACGATAAGAAAGTCGTTATGTATTTTCTATAATATTACTGTAGATAGCTACTGCGTTAGATACAATTAAATGATGTGTTCTTATCATTATTCATAATTAAATTATAATGTTGTTACAATAAACACGTGATGCGTAACAGTATAAAACGGATATACGTATGAATGGGGAAGAATGCGAGTGTGATCCACTCAATTGTCCTATTTATGTTGGGCAATGCGAAGAAAAGTAATATATATGTATATGTATGTGATGGCTCTACATGGCCTATTATATTCATTAGATCGGAATTACTATAGTCGATAATTATAGTATCCAAATTTTTTATCATTTTCATTTGGTTATATTAAGTATTTATTTTGTGAATGTACATGCAACTTATTAATTACATGACAAAACTCCCGTTATAAGTTTAGAACTGAATGATACGTGATGCGATATGTAAACCCATCTTCTTTATTAAAAAAAACACACAAAAATTACACGAGTATATTTTTCTAATTAAATTTATTCATACGTTTCACAGTCTTATTTGAAGAAATTGTTTAATCCTCCTCATTTTGTCATAATGCTTGATACTTATTCCTCATTAAAATAGCATCGAACAGCTTCAAGAATGTGCTTTTAATTACGTTAATTTGAATATTGGCGCGATGCACGCTACCGACAGAGATACCAACTATTAACACCAACACAAACGTTGCGTCATATTGCGCACTGTGTTCCGAGTCGTGTGTCGGGAATCTCGTTTTCGAAAGAGCACGCACACACATACCGCGTCGTGAAATCAAATCATCGGCCCGGGAAACGAGAGTGGATAAATCACGAACGACAATTCTCAGTGTTCATCAGATGCAATTAGTTTTGGCGCGTGTGGTTGCATACGTGTTGCGTGACTGTCGTTTCACGTATCTGTGCGCGCTCGGTAGGTCAAAATGGCGTGAACCGACCGTGCGATTTTAGGTTATCTTCGCTCGTGGCAAATCACAACGAATCCAGAAATAAAGTCGCGCGACCACACGTTGCTGGCATCTTTATATTTAAGTGTTACCGCGATCCTCCACGTGCGTATTCGAGATCGAGTTACATGAGTTATGAGGACGGAATGCCCGCAGGCGGTAACAGTCGTTTCCGCGGTTACCCAGCGCGGATGTCCGAGCGTCAACAACTCGCGCTCCTTCTCCAAATGACCTCTCAGGAAATAGTATCAGGTGAGTGAGACCAGGCACTTTAGTGTGAAACAAACACGCGCACAATTTTTCTTTTAACGCAAGAACACTTGATCGATCATCGAATTATGTTTGTGTTGATTATTATCTACGCATCTATTTTCCTATCAGTAGAATGATCTCAACGTGTTGGAACAGATGTTTATTCTATATTTACTCGGAATTACGTATCTAACAGTAAAATTCACAGTGATATGACATTACATACTACCTATCGTACCTAGGTTAGTCCAAAGATATGTGCTCAATAACTCGATGCAATTTAATCACTAATTAAACATTTATTTCTTTGCCGATACACGAACGAATAACACTCGCACAAATGTTCGCACTCCCATATCTCGATTAGCCGTTGTTTCCCGCTGTATCGCTTGGTCGGAACAATCTGCAACGCGATACTTGAGCTAGTTATATGGCACAGACAAGTGTTTGCTTATGTTATGTGATTGCCCAGCGTGCTTAGTTCTAAGGAACGCCATCTATGTATTGCAATCTGGAGGGAAATTCAAATTAATCTAGTAAGTCGAATATGTACACTTTCTGTCTATATGCGTTCGATAAAAGACAGTAAAGAAAAAAATTATTGTTTTGTTTATTCCTATGTCAACAGAAAAATGAGTTTCGATACGAAAAAAACTTGTTAATAATTGCATTTATCAAAATGAAAATAACGAATCACCTATGATGTTTGCTTACAATAAATTTTTTATTGTAAGCAGTAGTTCTCTATTCCACGAGGAATATTTTTACTTTTAAAAATCAAATTCCAATTACCATAAAATGTTATTCTGTATAATGCATATCGATTTAACGATAAAATACAACACGATACATATCCGATTTTCGAACAAAAAGTTTTTTAATATATCTGTAGTTAAATTAAATTATCAACTTTACTCCGGAAATTAAAATCTTTAATCTTAAAAGTTTACAGTTATTAGATTAACGAGCAGACGATTGTTACAATTCATGGTATATTTAAAGTTTTGTTCTTTGATTACGATATAAGTACTTTACTGTAAACTCAATTGGACATTGGTGTATGTATTTTCGTTATTGACCAAAACGATGATATCGTTGAATCGTTTCATGTAACAAAGAAAATCATATGGAAAAAGTAAAGCACAGACTGATTTTTATTTTAAATCATACATATAACTTTGAAAAGTGTTTTAGTTGTTGTAACAAATTTTTAAAATAATATTTTTAAAACTTCGGAACCAGATTTTGAAGCATTCTTGCTCCACTTTGTTGAATCGATTATATTCCTACGAATAAATAGTTTAAATAATGATAATTTTAAGCATTGTATTTTGTTATATTCGTATAATCACAGTTGAAAAAAATAAATTTACTTTGCCAAATATTGTGATTTTATGTGTTATATTTTTTCCCTTGATTTTTTAACGAAATGTACTTGAAATGCGAAATTTTAAATATTAAATTAAATGTTTGTTCAAATAAAAATATTTTGTTTGTTGAAATATCGCTTCATGTTTTATATATCTTATCTGTATTGTATAGCAATATTTTAAATAGTAATTGAATCATATGTTTACTATACATTTTATCGAGTTTGGTCTCGTTCCTTTTTCTCGTTTCACACGCCATCTTTCCAGCTCTGTGCAGTAATCGATGTACACTTGAGTTCCCGCCATATGAAAATTGTCCTGATACCGGCACCGATCGCCGGTAACTTGTTACAACTGCAATTTACACTAGGAGGCGTTAATGCCAGGGCATACTCTCGTGGTCTAATTTACCCATTATACCGCTCCTCATTTTATATGCTATATAATGTTTTGTTAATCACATCTACTATTAACATTTGAGTACTTATGAACATTTACATTATATAAGGCATTCAATTACAAAACTTCATTTACAAATTACATTATAATTCAAAATAAAGATATCTTATTAATTGTTAGACAGCAGATTTTTAAAAAGTTCTTAATTTTGTTTTTAAAAATTATAGTAAGATAAAAAGATGGGCAGAAGTCAATAAAATTGCACATTACTTTTCGGTTATCAGAACCATTACTATAAAAAATTAAATTCTGTCCACTTTACATTCTTTTTAAATGTATTTATAAAAATAGGAATTTCAATAAACATCAGCAACCTACTAATTATTAATTGGTTATATTTGTGTACGTAATTTTTAGGTGGAAATCGAACAGAGAATACAACGACAAGCTCCACCTCAAGGTCGTCGACGTTACAACAACGAGGATCGAAAGGACGGTGGTCTAGCAAAAATGGAGATTCAACAGTCCATACGTCTATTAATCGTAAGGAAGATTTCCGCGTTGGGCAGATGCTCGTGAATGGATATGATCTCAATGCTAAAGAAGCAAGTGGTGAGTAATTCGTATATTTCTTTGCATTTAATTTTATGTTTCATTTTATACAAGAAATAATTTCTTCTATTCCTTGATTCTTTGTATTCTATCTATCAATCTTTCAAGTATTATATTAAATATGATATTAAATATTGTATTAAATATAATAGTAAATGTATTATATTATATCTAATATAATATTTATTGTAATGTTAATATTCAATACTATATTTAAAATCTTCATGTTTTCAACAAATTAAAAATGCGAGAATACAAGGTTATCATTTATAAACATAAACCTTTCAATAAGTTAATGAATTGTTTAATTACACTTGAAGAATAGAGAATATAAATATGTGATAGCTTTAATAATCACAATTATATTGCATTATAATTGTTTTTAAGAAAATCTATAACGATAGGAAAAAACTAATTTCACAATATCACCTTTAAATGAAGGAAATACTGAATGACATCGCGTCGGTTGTTTTCGTAAGGAAACAAAATGTTAAAAACCTATAGTCCCCGCCTACTTTATTCAGGAGAATGCGATTATAGGAAAGAGTGATTTGATTTTGCGGTCGTTCATTCGTTGACGACTTGCTTCTGCCTTTCCGGCAGAGACAGGGGTGGACAGCGATGAGCGAGCGAGAGAAAGCGAGAAGAATGAAGCGGTGGGCTTTACGATTCCATTATAATGAAATCGACAAAGTGTGGTTGTCTGCGGAAAGTGCAGTGCAACTTGAAACATGTCAGCCATGAGAGCGGTCGACGATCCGACTGCAACAAAGTATTTTCGCAGAATTACCCGTTATTACCTACCGCTAAAATATTAAATTTCAAGATTTCTCTTCGTCGCTATAAAAGTATTTCCAACGAATAATTAGGGCTGTCCCCATAAAAATAAAACCAGATGCGACATTCAAACAATTTTTCAGTAATGCTTAAACCGAATTATTGGGAAATAGTTGGACGTTCCATAAAATTAAGATAAATTCGTATAAGCTCGTTTTTGGACTCTTATGAAATTAAAATCTTCTAAGGAAAAGAAATTTAATTTCGTTCTTTCAATTATGTTTTTAGAAACTTAAATTTACATAAAAATCCACAGTATAATTATCACTAATCGATGTACCAATCTTGTTTTCATGAGTCCTACAAATGTTTTAGTACGTCATAGACATTACATTTGAGGTGTTCATTGGACATTGTCTTAATTCAGTTATTTTATTAGAAAATAAACCATTAACCCTTTAGTTCCCAGTGGTATCGCCTTGAAATCATATATTTCAAGATCAGTAAAATACGAACCATTAGAGTAGCCACGAAGACACCAGTATAAAATCATTGTAGTAATCGACACCTATTTTTTGATAGTTAAAGTAACAGTTTTTATAAAAATAATTACTGTCGTAAAAAATGAAAAGTTAATTAACCTTGATCGGGCCCTAGGGTCTTCTTCGACTCCAATCGAAATTAATTTTTACTGTGATTTTTTTTAAGGGGCGAATGACGGTTAACATATATTGTGAAAATAAATGTATTTTTTTTTAATTTTATTGGGACCTAAAGGATTAAATAGTACATCAAGGTTAGGGGAAGGTAGTGGTAGACGGGAGCAAACATAAAAGTATTTGAGGTCCCCGAACATTATGGCACGGCCCTGATAACGAAGAAAAGCACGGCATTTTTTGGCAGTTCGGAGACCAACTGTTGTATGCTCTGGTGTGTTTAGCACACAAGGGGAATCGTTCGTAACCGTAGGTAAGAGTATCCCTACCAGCTCTTTACCCTACGGTCCATGCATCAACGCTTTACGGTCAGACCATAATTTGCGTTAAGTTTATTCCACTTTCTGCTCCTTGACTAGTATCTTTTTTGACTACCTGCCTAACAGTTCTTACGTATTCTTTGTTTTGATTGTAC